GGTTAGGGGACAGACCACAGTGCCATCTGCAACCTTTCTGTAGGCCCCTGCAAGGGAGACTGTGGGCATGGTTCGGGGACAGACCATGGCACAGGTGCTATTTATCTGTAAGCCCCTGCAAGAGGGACCATGGGCATGGTGAGGGGACACGCCACAGCGCCATCTGCAATCTTTCTGTAAGCCCCTCAAGGGGGACCGTGGGCATGGTGAGGGGACACTCCACAGCATGGCTGGGCGGGCACAAGACGTCTTCTTTTCCTCCTTGTTCTCTTTGCCCCTCTCTACCACCACATCTGCCCACCGCCCACTTCTCCCTCCTCCCCAAGACATAAGACATGTCAGAACCTGGGACTTGGTGTTGGAAGGACAGAGAATAAACATTGCACCCGTAGATAATTCAAATAACCTAATAGAGGTTGACCCAGGTGGACTTTTCCAGTAAAGTAAAGAGCAACAAATTAACTCACATGGAAAGAAGGTAAGAACAGAACTCCCGAGTGCTGAGTGCTGTAGGCCAGCCTCACATTTACCTGAGGAAGGAATGTGAGACACCTCCTGACTTCACTTAATGGGCAGGTGTTCTATTAAAGGTGGTGCCAGCCGTTCTGAGCCTACTCATGCCCTCCACTTCAAGGACAAAGAAACCAGTGTTTTGACAAGGTTTGCTAATGAGCCGTAAGTGTATGTGACTACATAACCCCCAGATCAACCCACTCTCAGGTACCACCATCCTGTGCTTGGAGAAGATGTGATTGAGAGTCAGCATTTACTTTTTGTCATTGGAGTAGAGAAAATGCCCTTTTACCAGCTACATGACTTCTGACGAGCATGATTAAGTTCTGCTCACTCTTCTGTAAAAGATCTCTAGCAAACCGACCCCAGCCGAGTGGCAGCCTCGCTAAGAATGCATCGTGTTCCCTCCCAAATCTGCTTTTGCGGTGGTGCCTATTATTGCGGTTTTAAGGTTTAATTATCATCGTAATGTTATGGTTAAGTATGAGGAAGCCTAGAGTCACTTCTAGTAAAGCAAAGTAGGCTGCTTCGCAAAAACTCTAAAAAGGCAAAAAATGCTTTAAAATGCTACCAAATTCGGCATGGGCGAGGGGACTGTAAAGGACTGGTGAAAACAATAAAGATTTATAAGAATTTTACACTCAGAAGGCTTCACAAGTGTCTCAAGTTCTCACTTCCAATGAAGCACATGGGTCTGGTTTGTGCTTCCACCAAAAAAGCAGTCAGAAGATCCACACTCAAAAAGGCCCTGCCCCTGAATAAAAGCATCCATTCATTCTCCAGCACGATGGCACTGGGTGAGTATTTATTTCTAAGATTCTCTCTTTTGATCAGCTTTGTCAATTATCCCACTTGTGAACTTAGGCTTCTGATGTATAAAGATGAGAACGACAGGTTAATCTTGACATTACGAGACCATATGCCTACTTATTATTTGCATTCCAGCCTGCTAGAAGTGTCCTTGTGCAATGTCTCTTCCTAGCGGGTTGTTAAGGTTGACGTAGGCGGGGCTTGCAGCGTCCTTTCCTGCCCTTCTATTTGGAGGTGTGGGAACTCTATCAGGGGCCCTGTGTCATGTCCCCGAGGCCCACCTGCTCACGGTCAGCGTCTGCCCTTTCACTTCCATGCTGGCCTCCGGCTTCTGGGGGTCCTTTCCTGGTCTCTCATTGAAGATGCGTATCTTGGGCTCCTGCATGAACTGGCCTAGCAAAACAGAACCCAGACATGTGTTTACACGTAACCTGATGCAGAATAAAAAGACAGGCTTGTCATCTGGCCAAGCCGCATCTTGGTCCTCCCTCCTGAATGTCTAGGGTAGAAAGACAAGTGGACAAAGACCAGTTGAGAGGGCAAAGGAGGAGAGATTTGCTCTCCCCCTGCTCACAATCATTCTGCACACGAGGTTCCTCCACCGAACCATTAGTAAGTTGACCACCCTAACAGCAGGCGGGTGACGTTGGCACTTGAGGGCACAGCTCAAGTAGGGAACAAGGTTTGTGTGTTGCTGCATTTGAACCCTTCTTAAAGTCCTGGGGACAGTTATCACAGACTTCCTAAACCAGTTCGCTACTCTTCAGTTAGAGAAAGTCTTTACTGTAAAACTTACTTTAAGTCCGTTGTCATAACGTGCCCGATTTGTGATGCTGAAACCCCTACCCGGATGGCTTCTTTCCTGACTCCCCAGCACTGCTGCTCCAGGCCTCTGTGCCTCTGGTTTGCACCCGCCACTCCCCAACTTCTACCCACTGCTCTTCAAAATTGCTAAGGACCCAGTGCGGCCCCACCCCGGCTGGACGGTCGGCATCTTACCGATTAGCCCGTGTACTTTAGGCGAAAACTTGTTGGTGGGGGGGATATAAATTCCCAGAAAGTCCACATTAATCGGATGCTTCTTCCAAACGCGATGAAGTAAAACAGAGAAGGACATTTCCTTGTCCAGGGCAATGGTCACGGCTTTTCCCTTCTTCACTGAGATAAGCACGCTGGTGTGGAAGGCCAGAGGGAATTAATCAAACCCAGAGCAGACTTCTAGAGCATGAACTCCTTCCTCCCGCTAGTTTTCTGAGAGTTTTGTTTACAATATGTTTGCTGTAGAATGTCATTGTTCTAACTCTCAGCTCTAGAATTCCGTGAGAGTGTGTGTGTGTGAACAGTCCGATGGGGAAGTGTTACAGGTGAGGTAGGATCGTAATGTTTGGAGGGCCCTCTCTGACGTCAGGTCAGCTGTGGGTTCACTCACGGCCCCAGCATGTAGGCACCGAGTCCTTACTAACGGCAGCCACTAGACTAGACTAGACCCTGACACAGGACAGTGACCAAAACCCCTGACCCTGCGGCCAGGATAACAGTCGATTTTTCTGAATCTCAGTTTCCTTATATTTAAAATGATGATTTTTAAGTTCTATGTTGATGTCACTGGTGTCTGGGTTGATTTATGCCATCACTAGCCAAGGACAGGCCCAGACTCAGAGGGAATCATACTTGCCTTTGGTTGACGACGTGCACTGTGTCCGACCAGGACAAGACAGACGTCCGGGACCTGCGGCTCATGGTGATGGCTTTCGTGCTGATTTCTATTTTTGTGTCTTCCTTTTGGAAATAAAACCCCAGTTTTCCAAAATAGGTGCTTAGTTTTCCATTATTTGGCTTCTTCGCACCAACAAGCTGACCGTTGACTAAAATTCCTACAGAAAAGAAAAAAGGTTTTCTCTCTCGTGTACAATTTTTCTTCTTTTTTTTTTTTTTTTGCATGTGTGGGCAACAAAATTCAAATTTGTTGAACTTGACGATACGGGGAGATTATTATTTTGCTTCAGGATTTATGTAACTTTTTTTCCTTGTGATTCTTGTTTTACCACTGAGTTTAAATTAATTATAGTAAATAAGATTTGCTAGTTCATGCTGAGAAGCAGTATAATTGTTCAAAATACTTCAAAATGTATGTGTAATGTAATCTTCACTAATATCAGAAGTTGGAAAGTAAAGAACTCCAATTAAGGTGAGGAAGAAAGGAATCCCAGATAGTGACAAGAAAGCATGAGAATGATCTAATTGTCTAATTCAAATATGATTTCTTTTTATTTTACCTGATTCTGGATCAGAAACCAGGTTGAGGATTTTTCCAGGTTCTGAGTCAATATTGAAACAAATATTACTTTGGCTTTTTGGTAAGTAAATGATGAAATGTGGGTCATTTTCAACTGGAAAATGAAAACAAACAAAATCAGAAAAAAGGAAGATATTACGATTTTGAATAGTATTTTGTTCCAGAACCCCTTTTATTTAACCAGAACAAATATTTATGGTGCTTCTACTATATGCCAGGCTTTGTTGTAGGCACTAGAGACTGTCCCTTCCCCTTGGAGCCTCCATTGGAACTTTATTTTATTTGACAAACACTATGGATATTTATTCTGTAGCTGTCATGCCTGTACTAAGAGAGAGGCTAGATATGAACAAATAGGAAGGAGAGAGTAGGGCAGCACCTGTGGCTCAAGGAGTAGAGCACTGGCCCCATATACCAGGGGTGATGGGTTCAAGCCCAGCCCCTGCCAAAACTACAAAAAAAAAAAAAAAAGACAGACAGTAATTATATAATATACAAGGTGTCTATCAAATTTGTGTGTAATTTAACATTGTTGTAAGTTTTAAATTGCACACAAACTTTACAGACACCCTGTATAAAGAGATAAATAGAATTTTTGTTTGTTTGTTTTTGAGACAGAATCTCACTCTGTTGCCCTGAGTAGAGCACTGTGGCATCATAGCTCACAGTAATCTCAAACTCCTGGGCTCAAGCTACCTTCCTGCCTCAGCCTCCTGAGTAGCTGGGACTACTGGTGCTCACCACCACCACCATCACCACCACACTTGGCTAGTTTTTCTATTTATAGTAAAGATGGGGTCTCACACTTGCTCAGGCTGGTCTGGAACTCCTGAGCTCAAGTGATCCTCCCACCTTGGCCTCCCAGAGAGCTGGGATTACAGGCATGTGCCACCGCATCCAGCCAGAGATGTATTTTTTTAAGGAGCCCCATATGGTGCAGAAAAATAAAGTGACATAATATTGTTCACATACAGATTAACAGTAATAAATTCTAACAGCAATGAAGAATCAGGCCATTCCCAAGAAATTACTGCTGTTGTTTTGAACCTGAGCATCCAACTGATCCTTTCTGGGCTTTTAAAAAAGTTTTCCATTTAGGGTGGCTCCTGTGGCTCAAAGGAGTAGGGCACTGGGCCCCTATGCTGGAGGTGGTGGGTTCAAACCCAGCCCTGGCCAAAAAAAAAAAAAAAAAAAAGTTTTCCATTTAACCATTTAACAAATATTTGGTGAAGGGGAAAGAAAAACTAGGTGCAAAAAGTACATTAGGCAACGTTTGGTGCAGCTCCAGCTACATCATGTTCTGCACCTTCTGCAAAGTGGCCCTGCGTGCGGGATGCAGACGGGACCTCTAGGTGAGACAGAGCCACATAAACGGCACAACCACCAACCACCAGGCCGTGCAACAAACCGGCTGCGAGAATGAGGATGGAGGGGTGATGAGCACCCCCGGGGCAGGCTGAGCCAGGGGGTAGAAGGAGCCAGCTTTAATTTTTTTAAATTTCAGGTTAACATGAAGTTCCCTGTAATTAGGTTACATAGTCTGCTTCTGTAAGATCAATTCCGAGTCACAGTTGTGTCTTCACTCAGGAAGTGGGTTTCACTCCGTATACCCACACATTGTACCCGTTGGGTGGGAACTTTCCCAAATTTCTCCTTCGCCCCTTTTCCCCGCTCCCCTCCTTGAATTTAACTGGGTCTTTCTCTCCTGTGAGAGGTTGTGGCCTCCGGGGATTATGGAGGTTGAGCTCCAGGATGGGCAAGGGGTGTCAAAGCCTCCTACCTCGCATCACGTGTGGTGGGGGCGTTGACTCCAGCACCCGACCTTCCACGGGCATTGGGACCACCGGTGTCGGGGAAGCGTTGGCCCAAGCGGGGATTGAGTCTGGGGAGACTCGGCTGCCGTAGTACAGGGCGCCTGTGCAGAGAAACCTGCATGTTAGTTTCCGGGTCTGCCTTTCCCCGGAGACCGCTCACAGTTCCAGGCATCTGTTTTACGCAGGCCCCTGGGTGTCGGGTGAGGGTTTCTTCTATATTTTATTCCAGAGTTTTCTCTTCTCTGGCTCCCTCTGGCATTGCCCAAGAGGACCTGTGATACGGTTTTCTCTGGAGTCTGGAGCCTGAGTGAGGGTGGCAGTGGGAGCCGCTGTGCAGAGCTGGGGATGTGCCCAGGGCCTTCAGCCTTAGCCGGGAGATAACGCCCAGGAGAAGCCGGTCACTGTGGGCGTCTCTCTGGATCTGTCTCTACTCACTCCCCAAACAATATGGAGAGTGCTTCATAAAGCAGTTCTCCGACCTTAACCCTGGGGAACTGGCACACGTTCGTTTCTCAAAGACAGAGACACTGACTGGATGAAAAGGCAGAGCAAAATCAGCCTCATTTGTGTAACGTAACCCCCCTACATCCATCTGTCTGTGAGGCTCCGGGCTGGTGTAACCAGGACATCTTTAGTCGGAGTTCCTTGAAGCCTGGGCAAATGGGGTAAACTTGGCAATGCCCTTGACCAAAATTAAAAATGGAGAAAAGGATCCCTCTATTGTATAAAGGTCATTCTCAAAGATATGTTTCCTTCAGACCAGTCCCTAAGAAAGAGAAGGAAAAGAGGTCTTCTCGCCTCGACTATGGAGACTGCCTGCGAACTTTGGACAGGGCTTAGAGAGAGGGATCGATTTTAAGGCAATTTTTAGATTCTCGGCTTCCACACACACTCTTTCCGAAGGAAACCCCTTTCTCCTCATTTACAGACAGTTGGCGGGCTCTTCTCTGGCCTCCCCTCACCCACAGTCCTCACCCACCATCTCCCGGGAGCTGAAGCACCACTCCAATATTGGCAGAGTATCAAAGAGACAGAACAATTCTAATGACTGGGTAACCAATCTTTCGGCCAGTCAGATGGTTTCCAGTTCTTTGCTTTCTACAAGACTGGAGAAGGGCTTGAGTTGTCAGCTGATTAAAATGTCCTGAATGCAAATCCGTATGCGAGTTTTGGCACATAAACTCAAAAGAGTTCAGATAAGTTAGTAACGAAACAGTACACAAGCTCTTTCCAGCTCTGTCTGCTTATCTTTATCAATAATGTTTATTGGGATTCATGCCTATAAAAAATATTTTAAAAGTAAAATTAATGCTGAATATTCTCTCTTTGAATCTATCCATACATAATATTTACCCATGGGCACATACATGAAAAAATACTCGGCCCCATTTTTCTCAATAAGTGATCATTTCCAACCAAATTGTAGTTATGTGTATCAAAATCTGTAATAAATTTATATTATTTTGATCACTTGACTATTAGTAGCAATTTCAGTACAACTCAATCCAGAAAAGAATTTTGATCACTCAGAGTCCCATGGACATAATTTTCAAATTTAAAATTTTTTATTATTTATTTATTTATTTTTTAGAGACAGAGTCACTTTGTCACCCTCAATAGAGTGCTGTGGCATCACAGCTCACAGCGACCTCCAACTCTTGGGCTTAGGCGATTTTCTTGCCTCAGCCTCCCAGAGTAGCTGGGACTACAGGTGCCCACCACAATGCTCCAGCTAAAAATTTTTAAATTAAAATTTAAATTTCTAAGCATTTTTCTTGCAGAGTGACAGGATAATTAGTAATAAAAAATATATTACATTGACAGCACCTGTAGCTCAGTGGGTAGGGTGCCGGCCACATACACACCAACGCTGGCAGGTTTGATCCTGGACCGGGCCAGCTAAAACAATAATGACAACTGCACCAAAAAAAAAAAAAAAAATAGCTGGGCATTGTGGCAGGCGCCTGTAGTCCCAGCTACTTGGGGGGCTGAGGCGAGAGAATCTCTTAAGCCCCAAGAGTTTGAGGTTGCTGTGAGCTGAGATGCCACAGCACTCTACCAAGGCCGACAAAGTGAGATTCTGTCTCAATTTAAAAAAAATATATATATATATATTTTTAAATTTTGACCTTTATTTTAAAAGGTCAATATTTACAATGTTCCACAAATTGTATTTGTTGCAATTATTTAAAGAAAAGGAAAAAATTAAATGTTGATTTAAAAGAATGTCAGGGAGGTATATACAAAGGTTTTCAAAATTCCTTTGGAACACATGTAAGCAAAAATGTTTAAAGACCACAGCAATAAATGGTACTTGAATTAAGTTGGCAGGAAGAGCCTGGGCACTCAGGGTTGCAGGGCCGGGGCGAGAGGTGGGCTGGGGTGGGTGACAGCTGCCTTGGGGTGCCCCCCGGGCAGCATACCTACCTGAGCAGCAGGAGTAGTCCTGCGGGGGAGAGTCGGCCAGCATCCGCTCGTCCCCCGCCTCATTCTCAATCACCATCGCGGTCAGTGGGGTCACGACATGGTGTTCTAGAGACATCTGCAGGATCTTTTTTGTGATCTTCCTTTTGGTGGCAGCCGTAGGAGCCAGGCTTCTGTATCCGAGAAGCAGAGGTGTTAGAGAACATCACTGCATTTAAGGGGGACTCAAGTCTGCACCCCTTTACTGCACCCCACTTCTGGTGTCCTACCCGGGCCCTGGGGGGCAGAGGGGCACAGGTGACAAGGAGGCAGAACTAAGTGGCTTCGAGAAACTTAGACTCGTCTTTCATCAAGCCATGTGGTCCTATAGGATTTTGTTTCTGTTTTTGTTTTGGAGACAAAGTCTCACTCTGTCCCCCAGGCTAGAGTGAGGTGGTGTCAGCCCAGCTCACAGCAACTTCAAACTCCTGGGCTTATGACATCCTCCTGCCTCAGCCTCCCAAGTAGCTGGGACTACAGGTGCCCAGCAAATTTTTCTATTTTTGGTAGAGATGGCTCTCATTCTTGCTCAGGCTGGTCTTGAACTCCTGAGCTTAAGGGATCCTCCTGCCTTGACTTCCCCAAGTGTTGAGATTACAGGTGTGAGCCACCATGCCTAGCCCTGTGAGTTAAAAAAAAAAAAATCAGGGTGGTGCCTGTGGCTCAGAGGCAGGGTGCTGGCCCCATAAGCCGGAGGTGGTGGGTTCAAACCCAGCCCCGGCCAAAAACTGCAAAAAAAAATCAAAACCATTTGTTAGAGCAGTGTTAGGTTCACGGTAAGGTACAAAGCTTCCCGTGTACTGCCATCCCCACCGAGAACAGCCTGCCCCCATCACCATGCATCCCCATCAGAGGGGCTCGTTGTTAGAACCGACGACCCTTCACAGACACTTCTTAGTCACCCAGAGTCCGCACTGTGCTTGCATTAGGGCCCACTCTTTGTGCTGTATTTCCTAGACAAACACGTAACAGCAGGTACCCCTGCTATAGGCTCATACCAAGTAAATTCACTGCCCTGAAGATGCTCTGGGCTCCACCTAGACATCCATCCCCCTCCCTTGCCCCCTGGCAACCACTAATCTTTTTATAGGAATTTTAAAAAATCAATATTTAACTTCTGCCACAACTTGCTTTATGCCTGTGTATACTCACAGCATGCTTCTGTCTGAGAGGCAGGGGTAGTTCTCTCTTCAAAGTCCCAGCTTACAGCCTTTTGTATTTTTTATAATTGTGGTGACCGTAGGGATTTTCCCTGAGAGTCCAGTTATACAACCATGTGTCATTTCCCCACCTAGTTTAGACCGTCCTGTCCCATCGTCCTAGAGAATCTGATCTAATCTTAGCTGGTGGAGTAAGGCCGGGCAGAGCCGCCTTCATCACCCTTCCTCATGCCCCGGGTGCAGCTACGCTCCTGATACAGTTTCCACGTTGGAGACACAGAGGCAGCTTGGCAGAGAAGCCAGAGGTGACACAGGTGAGTTCTGGGGAGCCCTTCCTTGGGGGACAGCATAATCGCGTCATTGCGAATTTCTCTTTAGACCCTAACCTGTGTTCAAGAGTAAGTGTGAATGATCCACAGATACACACACAACGTGGACGAATCTCACAGATATCACAGTGAGAGAAAAAATGCAGAGACCGAAGAATGCGGATCGTGATTATGTCGCTTGTGGTAATAGGCGGAACTATTCGATGACGACAGGTGTGGACACAGCGGTGTCCACTGGTGGCGGTGATGGGGGTGGGTATTGGCGAGGGAGGAGAATAAGGGAACCCTCACGTTCTGTCTGGATCCGGGTGGTGAGTGATGTAACAATTCATTAAACTGTACACTGAAAATGAATGCACTTTGCCTTACCCTGTGTTAGATCTCAGTAAAAAAAGAAAGAAGAGAACCCCCTTCAGCTGGAGTGTCGGACCAGCGGGGGTTAGAAATCCAAACCTGGCTTCCCTCGCTGCCTTTCCCGGCTCTAACCTGTTTCTGTGTCTGTTTTCAATTGTTCCAGGCGCATGGGTCACTCTCTCATATCCCCCTGGTGTGTGTGCGCTGGTCCGCTTACCGCTCGGCCAGCAGTTGGTTGATGGTGAGGTAGGCCCACAGCTTCCTGGTGAAATCGGGGTCTGCGTGCTTGTCTTTGGACAGAAAATCCTCCAAGTCGTCCATCTGGGCCAGGGTTTCCAAGACTAACTCCGTGTTGGCCTAGATGGCAGAGGTTCGGGGGAAAGACACCGGGGAAGGGAATTAGAGTTAATCGGGTCACCTGTGCTGTACATGGACGGGGACACGAGAGGGGTGGACGTGAGTGTGCACCTCCCGAGGGTGGGCGTGGGCCTGGGTGCGAACAGCTGGGAGGCCCCCCTGGGGTCTGCCGTCTTCTCCTTCACCTAATGCTTTTACTGTACATAGGTGACTGGGGAAGGCAGAGGGGCTGTGTCCAGGGCACCCCGCAGGGGACGGAGCAAGCGTACCGAGGTGGCAGTGATGATACTCTGTATCTCGTCCAGTTTATCAGGGTCGAACTTTCCTGCCACCACAATCTCTGACCCTCCAAAATAGTTAGGGAAGCTGTTTTGAGTGACATCTGTTACTGACGTGTGGGGATAGTTGAACTGAACATTCCGGAGCAATGGAGTCGAGACCTGGTTGTAGAATTTCTACAGTTCATACAAAAAAGGAGAGAGAGAGAGAAATCGTTACTTTCTTGCCATCTCGTACATGTATTTTTCTCTCAGGTTCTTAGATGCTTAGCAGATACCTCGTAATTATTCTCACAGGACCTCTGAGACAAGGAAAAATTCTCACAATTACTAGAAAAAATACTGAGACAGAGAGAGGATAAGACTTGTAAAGAATATTACCCTGGATATAAGAGCCCATTTTTCTTCTTTTCTCTTATGATCAGTGCAAAAATCTCATACTCATAATAAAAAAAAAAATCAGCTAGTCGGACTGCAAACTAATGCAACCCTTTTAAATGGAAATATGGCGAATCCTCAAAGAACTCAAACTAGACCTCCCATTTGAAACCATAATCCCATTATTAGGCATCTACCCAGAAGAAAAAAAAATCATTTTATCATAAGGACATTTGCACTAGAATTTTTTTATCGCAGCTCAATTTATAATCACCAAAATGTGGAAACAGCCTAAATGCCGACCAACCCAGGAATGGATTAACAAGCTGTGGTATGTATACCATGGAATACGATTCAGCCATTTAAAAAGATGGAGACTTTACATGTTTTGTATTAACCTGGATGGAGGGAGAACACATTCTTCTCAGTAAAGTATCACGAGAATGGAGGAGCATGAATCCAATGTACTCTATTCTAATGAAAGCCAGTAGATGATCTAATACACACCCTCGTAAGAGAAAAACTCAAATCAGTTCAAGGCGGGGGCAGGTTGATGAGGGAGTGGGGAGGAGGGAGGGGGAGGAGGATGGGTGTGCTCCCACTTCATGGTCACAGTGGTAGGGGGTGTGACACAGCTCTTGGGGGCTGGACACAGTTATAAGGCTCTACCTAAAAAATACAAACATTATAGCCTCATTCTTTGTACCCTTAAATTACCTGAAACAATAAAAATAGGAAAAAAAATCAGCTGGGTTGATATTCCTCAAATTATTACCTTATCCCTTACTTGTCCCCAAGTTTAAAGAGTGTCTGGCACAAAGGGCGGGAAGTCTTGTTCTTTTTTCCCTAAATTGTTTTCTTGCCCATTTATTCAAAATAAACAAGTAATTTGTGTCTTTCATATTTAAGGAAATTTACAGGCCATAGTTTGACCTGTTTCACGTGATTAAAAAATTGATGTCCAAGACGACAATGTACTTTAAACTGTTGGCCATGATAGCAGGGAGACCAAGTGCTCAGGGGGACCCAGAAGCTACAAGAAGCATTTTTTTTTTTGAGACAGAGCCTCAAACTATAGCCCTGGGTAGAGTGCTATGACGTCACAGCTCACAGCAACCTCCAACTCCTGGGCTTAAGCAATCCTCTTGCCTCAGCCTTCCGAGTAGCTGGGACTACAGGCGCCCGCCACAATGCCCGGCTATTTTTTGGTTGTAGTTGTCATTGTTTGGCAGGCCCGGGCTGGATTCGAACCTGCCAGCTCTGGTGTATGTGGCTGGTGCCTTAGCCACTTGAGCTACAGGCACCACCCTACAGGAAGGTTTGACGGTGCCTCGGGGGATTTTTCGTTTAGGGCGAAGGGAAGAGTGTCTCACTGTCAGTGCAGAAATACAGGAGCGAAGGGGGACGTACAAAAATTCCTGCTTCTTGTGACCGAGTATGGCTGAAATAATGAGAATTTTGAGTCAGATTCGGCCACCTTCTTTTAAGCAGCAGATATGGTAGTTACTTGATTTTGAGCAAAGAAAAGCAGAGGACACAAGAAAGTGTTACCTTGAGCTGGGAAGACGTGTCCTGGTTTCCATAAATCCTTTGAGCAATCCCCCGGTTTTCATTAGACAGCCTCTTCAAAAAGTCGTAGTCGACATCAAACCCCATCCCCAGACTGAACAAGGAGATGTTGTCTTGAATGCTCTGCTTCACGTTTTTCTGAATTTTTGACAATTTTAGTTCACCTGAAGTTGGTGATGACAGAAAGGAAAGGGAGGAAGAAGCAACGTTACGATGTTCTCGAGAAAATCCAAGAAAGGCAGTTTACTGAAATTGGCCACAATTTAAAATGCACTTACCCATGGACTCAGTAACCCAACTTAGAGGAATTTCTCTCACAGATCACTCATCCATCCATGTGGAAATGAAGGGGGACAGTGGTACTTAGAAGTAATATTTGAGAATACCAACATATTGGAAACAATTTAAATGTACACCAGTGAGAGAGGTTGGTTAAATTAGGGTCCATTCAAGGCTCAGCACCTGTAGCACAGTGGTGATGGCACCAGCCATATACACTGAGGCTGGCAGGTTCAAAACCGGCCCAGGCCATGTAAACAACAATAACAACTGCAACAAAAATAACCAGGCATTGTGGCGGGTGCCTGTGGTCCCAGTTACTTGGGAGCCTGATGCCAGAGAATCGCGTAAGCCCAAGAGTTTGAGGTTTCTGTGAAGCCACGGTACTCTACCGAAGGCAATATAGTGAAATGCTGTCTCAAAAAATACATAAACAGATAAATAAAATACAATAAATAAATTATGGTCCATTCAAGCAGTGAAATGCCAAGCTGTTATTAGAAAGGACACAATAATTCTTTGTGTGTTTCCACTGACAATCTCAAAGACACATTTTTAGAGGAGAAAAAATAAGGTCCATATGGGTGTATCTAGGAGACATTCAGATGCACACAGAAATGGACGCGTGTGCGTTCTGTGTTTATGCATATTCACTGTGGATAAACGTGTGTGCCGTGTGTGCATGCTGTGTGTGTGCCGTGTGTGTGCCGTGTGTGTGCCATGTGTGTGCAGATTCACTGTGGATAAACACACACATGGTGGACGCGTGTGGGTGCCGTGTGCATGCTGTGTGCATGCTGTGTGTGTGCCGTGTGTGTGCCGTGTGTGCGTATTCACTGTGGATAAACACACACGGGTGCAGCTGTGTAGACGGCGAGCACAGGTGTGCGTGAACTATCTCTGGAAAAATACACGAGAAACTGGTGACCAGTAACCGACTCTGGGGACAGCAAGCAGATAGTTGAGGGACATGAGTGAGAAACAGACTTAATTTTTTTTATAGCGTGTTCCTTTTTCTTCCTTCTACTTTTATGCAAAGTTTGAATTGTGAGAGAACTCTGCGCTGACGGGAAGCACTGAGGGCGCAGCGAGTGTGTACCAAGGGCTCAGTCTCCTGTCACTACCAGCAGCCCCCGGTCTTCCCAATGCCCCGGTGGCCCTTGTTCCTGTGGCCTCATGCATTTTCCTTGCTTTTAGCTGTGGCACGAGTTGGACACGGTCCTTGTCTACATGACAACACACTCGGGCAACACAATCCAGCATTCTCTATTACTTACATTCATCAGGATAAAGACACGAATAAAATAAAAATAAAAGTAGACAGCAGAAGTGGGCAGATGTTGAAGCTATTTTGCACATCAGAAAAATAATTAACTTAAAGGCGGTAGCAGAGAGCAGTCCACTCTCCAGCTGCCCCCAGGGAAATGTGCAGAAGAGTAGGGATAGGTCACTGTGGCCTCCAGAGGGGACCAGCCCTCCTCATTCTTGCGTCCACACACCCTCTTCACTAGGCTCACACTGAGGAAATGATAAACGCTCCCCCAGCCTGCATCAGCTATCCTCTCCACACACTAGGAAAATCCAAACGCAAATGTCCCCAGACTGTGTGGGTGACATCGGGATGTTCATAGACACCGCTGGCAGGGGCTGAGCACTAGTCTCAGGGGGTGAGGGCTTCAGGGGCAGGACGCTCTCTTTGGGAAGCATGGGTTTAAAACGTTTTAGAGACTTGGGCCAATGCCTTTGGAGTTCCCACTTTAAGAACCACCGCCCTAAGGGGCCACAGCGGACCCTGGGAGAAAGTTGAAGCAATACTTGCCAACTGTTGGGTCTCCATCCGAAACCAGAATGATGAGCGACACTGAGTTGGGGTCCAGCAGGCCCAGGTTATTGGCTTCGTTCAAAATGAAGATGGCTCGCAGGAGGGCCTCGTTGATGTTTGTGCCTGTCGAGGCAACATCGGGGCCATTGCACGTTGCTTTCCACACACACAAGATCACACCCCCCACTCAGGTTCGTCTGCCTGGTGATCACTTACACATCATGTATTTCACACCAAAATTATTTGACTGCTTTTTAAGGAACACCAATCCCGATCAGGCTGGGGATCCCCCCGTGTAGTGAGATTATTCACTCTGAAGTAAACCAACCCCTTGGAATTAGCCATTACAAAGCACAGTCTATTTAAACATCAAACGCAGGTCTCTAAATCAGCCCTTATGTGATATTCTAAAGCAGTGATTTTCAACCAGTGTGCTGCAAAAACTTTTAAAGATCATTAATTACATTATTTATGAAAGACGTTCAAAGCACAGTAGTATATTCTTTTTTTAAAAAACTCTTTTTCTTATTATTGTTTTTTGAGACAGAGTCTCACTCTGTTACCCTGGCTAGAGAGCTGTGGCATCATAGCTCACAGCAACCTCAAATTCTTGCACTCAAGCAATCCTCTTGCCTCAGCTTCCTAAGTAGCTGGGGCTATGGCCCCCACTATAATGCCTGGCTAATTTTTGTATTTTTAGTAGAAATGGGGTCTCACTCTTGTTCAGGCTGGTCTCAAACTCCTGAGCTCAAGCAGTTTACCTGCTTCAGTCTCTCAGAGTGGTAGGATTATAGGGGTGAGCCACCATGCCCAGCCTTACTCTTTTTTTGATCAATGTAATTTAAGTGTGCCTTGGAAGTTTAACCATAGGTTCAAGTGTGCTGTGAGATAAAAAAGGTTGAAAAAAGCTGAGCATGGTAGCTCACGCCTATAATAGCATTCTGGGAGACTGAGGCAGGTGGGAAGCATGAGCTCATAGGTTCAAGACCAGCCTGAGCAAAAATTGAGACCCTAGGCTCAGCGCCCGTGGTACAGTGGTTATGGTGCCAGCCACATACACCAAGGGTGGTAGGTTTGAACCTGGCCTGGGCCAGCTAAACAACTGCAACCAAAAACTAGCCTGGCATCGTGGAGGGCATCTGTAGTCCCAACTACCTGGAAGGCTGAGGCAAGAGAATCACTTAAGCCTAAGAGTTTGAGGTTGCTGTGAGCTATGATGCCACAGCACTCTACTGAGGGTGACAAAGTGAGACTCTGTCTCAAAAAAAAAAAAAAAGAAAAAAATTGAGACCCTGTCTCTACTAAAAATAGAAAAATTGAGGCAAAAGGATCGTTTGAGCCCAAGAATTGGAGGGTGCTATGAGCTATATGTAGCACCACGGCACTCTACCCAGGGTGACAGCTTGAGACTCTGTCTCAAAAAAAAAAAAAAAAAAGTTGAAAAACATTGCTCTAAAGACTAACATTTTATGAAATGTAAGTCATAAAGAAACACTCTAGGCCAGGCACTGTGGCTCACACCTATAATCCCAGCACTCTGGGATGCTGAGGCAGGTCAATCACTTGAGCTCACGAATTCGAGGCCAGCCTGAGCAAGAGTGAGAACCCTGTCTCTACTAAAAATAAAAAACTGAGGCAAGAGGATTGCTTGAGCCCAAGAGTTTGAGGTTGCTGTGAGCTGTGACAGCACAGAACTCTAGCAAGGCCAATAAAGTGAGACTCTGTCTCAAAAACAAAAAACAAAACAAAAAAAAAAAAGAAAGAAAAAGAAAAGAAAAACCACAAAGAAACACACTGTCACTTACTAAGCCTTGTTCTAGGAAAGGGTGGATGACTAAATGCTTGCATGGGCTGGATTACTCATTGGGCTTTCGTCCCAAACTTAGCATTCATCGTTCACTAATAGATGTGTGATTTGAGAAAGGCCATTGAGACTGCAAGACCACCGTAACGGAGGATGAGCCTACAGGGGTGTAAGCCATGCCACTCACCTCCGCTGGGCTGGATTTTCTCAATATACCTCTTGGCATCTGCCACCTGTGTTTTAGTAGCTGAAACTAAATCGTTTCTCCAGGTTCGAACGTTATGGTTGAAATCAATCACGGAGAATTGGTCTTCAGCTCTCAGGTCGTCCAGTATGGTCTTCATTGCTTCCACAGTCTATTTGGAACGAGATTAAAGAAGGCTCTCATTACATAAAATCTAAGCTTGAGAAGAAACTGGGAAGATTAATCATTGATCGTCATCACCTTTCAAGCCGAACTTCTTCCAAAAAACTCACCTAGGTCAACACCTAGGTCAACTCACCTAGGTCAACACCTATCCTTCACTTATTCTGAACATGTTATTATTGATTTTTTTTTTTTTTGAGACAGATTCTCACTCTGTTGGCCCAGCTGAAGTGTAGTGGTATCATCATAGCTCAGTGCAACCTCCAATCCTGGGTTCCAGTGATTCTCCTGCCTGCCAAGTAGCTGGGGCTACAGTGCACCACCACGCCCACCTAATTTTTCTATTTTTTTCCTAGATACATCTGTCTTGATTTGTTGCTCAGGCTGGTCTTGAACTCCTGGCCTCAAGCATCCTCCTGCCTCGGTCTACCAAAGTAGTGGGATTATAGGCACGAGTCACCATACCTGTCCTTTTTGATTCTTAAATATTTACTGTCTTTTTTTTTTTTTTTTTTTGAGACCCAGTCTTGCTCTGTTGCTCAGGCTAGAGGGAAGTGGTGCCATCACAGCTCACTGCAGCCTTGAACAGCTGGCCTCATGTTGTCCTCGGGCCTTAGCCTCCAGAGTAGCTAGTTCTATAGCTGTATGCTACCATGCTTAGCTAATTTAAAAAAAAATTGTAGAAATGAGGGTCTCATTATGTTGAGGACCGCAGTTTAGAGACCAATCTGGGCAACAAAGTAAGATACCTATCTCTACCAAAAATAGAAAAATTAGTTAGGCATGGTGGTGCACACATACAGTTGCAGCTGTTCAGGAGGCTGAGTCAGGAGGATCGTTTGAACCCAGGAGCTGAGGTTGCTGTGAGCTAGAGTGACGCCACTGCACTCTAGCCAAGAGACAGAGCAAGACTTTGCCTCAAAAAATTAAAAACAACAAATAAATAAAATACAGCCCTTCCCCCAAAGAAAAGTGATTGTTGAATGAATGGTAGTTGGTTGTTCCAACTGGCTGGATGGCTGTTTCCTTGTTTGTTCTTAGAATGGCATCTGTACCACTTACCACTGAATCGGCCTATACTGAGCTCCCACCTGGAAAACGTGAGAAAAATTTGAGGAATTACGATATAACTAGAAATGATCCACATGTGCCGATTGCTGATCTAACAGCTGCACGTGAACACAGGAAGATCTTAAAGACAGAAGATTGAAAGAACCTGCGTGGCCTGAGTCGGAGGAGGTGACTCAGAGCTGAAGTTTTCCAAAGAGGTTGAAGAGACGGTTTTCAAGAAAATTTTGGGCACAGAATAGGAAAAGAGAGGAAGGGAGGGAAGAGGAAGTGAGAAAGAGGGAGATGAGAAGGGAGAGAACTATAGAAGGAGGGGTGACTGAGCGGGGGGGCGTGGGTCCTGAGGGCTGTGGAGGGAGGGGTGACTGAGGGGGGTCCTGAGAGCTGTGGAGGGAGGGGTGACTGAGGGGGGCGTGGGTCCTGAGAGCTGTGGAGGGAGGGGGGACTGAGGGGGGTCCTGAGAGCTGTGGAGGGAGGGGGGACTGAGGGGCATGGGTCCTGTGACCATGCAGTCCTCCTACAGCTTTAGGCAGAGTTCGCACCCTCCGCCACTGACCACACTCCCTGAATTTTCACCCTCAAAGTGGAGGAAGTATGGAACACTTGCATTTCCGGGGGGTACCCAAGAAGTCAAGGAGAGGCCCACGTACCCCTGCAAACGAGGGAGCGCTTACCTGCTTCATTTTAACGCCCCACATAGAGCCACTAACGTCGATAACAAAGAGGATGTTTTTGGGAATCGGGTCCAGGCTTTCAGGAGCAAAGAAGTGGACGAAATACCCATTGAATACCTGCAAGACAGAGGTGCTTGTGAGTCAAGTCCCGACTGATGTTCAGGAGGTGAGGAGGTGGGGCCCCCGGGGCCGAGGGAGGAGTGAGGAGGTGGGGGCTTGGTGGCCGCCGCCGCCCTTCCCCTGCCAGCTTGGCGGTTGTGCCGGCGTCTGTCTCGGCGTCTGTCTCGCTGACCTCAAGTTCGCCGGCCTTCTTTTCTCTGTCCACGTCATACAGCACCACCAGCTCCCCATCCACCGCGGTCTCCAGGCAGCTGGGGCAAATCCTCTGCTGCTCTACCGAGGGCTTGAAGGAGACATGTGCCTGGAAGGAACGCAGAGTCAGGGTCTGTCCCCAGCCTTCCCCAGGGCAAGTGGCGCTGCCCAGTGCCCAGGCTGCATCAGGGTTGCGGCCTGGATGGAAGGGACACAGCCAGGGCTTTTGGGGCAAGTGTCTGCCAGCCTGTAGCACCACTTGCCAGGTTTCAGGCCTTTTTAAAAGAGATCAAAGACTGTCCTCTCCCTGTCCCCCATGGAAGGGATGATGACCTGCTCTGGAAAGAGTCTGTGAAATGTTCCTAGAGGAGTTTGACCTCAGAGGGGTCTCACTGGCCATGAAGGCAGGAAGCCGAACGGCTCTTGCTGGGATGGATGGAAACCTACCATATATTATTTGGAAACCGTCTCTTAGGGGCTGATCAAGTAGATGACCCAGGGAAAATGAGGTTCCAGAAGGGACAGTCTGCTGTCAAATGGAATGAGGTAATAGGGAGTGTCGTTCTGTATGTCCCGGGGAAGACAAGCAATGCTATGGTACCTTCTGCTGTCCTTTAGAAACGACCGTTACGCCCTCAAAATGGCCGTCAAACGTGTCGGGAACATGAAGAAACCGTATTCCCTGAGGCTCAATAATCCACACGTCTACCTAGAGATGGAAAGAAAAGGACTCGAAGCATTAAAACGCTTTAAAAAATCCTTAAGCAAGAACCAGGTCTGTAATCCTAGCACTCTGGAGGCCGAGGCAGGTGGACTGCTTGAGCTCAGGCATTCCAGACCAGACTGAACAAGAGCAAGAACTGTTTCTACTAAAAATAGAAAAAACTAGCAGGGTGTTGTGGGGCGGGGTGTGTGTGTGCCTGTAGTCTCAGCTACTCCGGAGGCTGAGGCAAGGGGATCATTTGAGTCCAAGAATTTGGGGTTGCTGTGAGGCCATGGCACTCTACCCAGGGAGACAGAGTGAGAGTCTGTCTCAAAAAAAAAAAGTGAGATCCCGGGTAAGTCCTCTGATCCTTTTCTCATCTTCATGTCTTCCCAGCCTGGCTCCACAATCCCTTGTGCGGGTTGTTTTACAAATTCCTAGGTGATAACTCCTTTGTGTCAGTTCAGTTCTCCTGTTCTGGGCCTGGTCTCCCTGAGATTTTCTTCTATTCTAATCTTGGTATTTTAAGAGCTTTCATGCTGCCTGGGGGGACAGAAGCCATGTCACTATTAATCATACTGCCTTTTCTCCGTGAGGATTCATCGAGAATAGACCATTTTCCCCACACCTTGGGCCTTTTATTCTTTCTGTTTTCTTGCTTTGAACAGAGTTCAACAGGGAGAAATCCCTTTTGGTTGTTCTTGACAAAACCGGTGTCATAAATGCCATTTCCTGAATGCTCATTATAGTCTAAGTGTGGCTGACTCACTCACAATGAAGGAACAAAAGTCTATTATCGCATCCTTATGCAGAGATGGTGTCTTGCTATGCTGTCCAGGCTGATCTCAAGCTCTTGGTCTGAGAAGGAGTGATCCTCCCTCTTCAGCCTCCCAAAGTGTTGAGATTACAGGTGTGAGCCCCAGCTATAATATCCTTTGTACAGATGAGACCATGGGCCTCTGGATAACTTATCCCTGGAGGTTACTATTATGGGTCAGACCATGGCTACTCCATGAAGAAATGTTTACATCAAATCTCTGGAACCCGTGAGTGTGAATTTATTTGGGAAAAGGGTTTTTGCAGATGCAATTAAGGATCTTGAGGTGAGGTCATTCTGTACTTACTAGCTAGTGGGCCCTAAGTCCAGTGACAGGTGTTCTTAGAAGAGAAAGGCAGAGTGGGCTCTGAGATGCTCAGGGGAGGAGGATCTGTGACCACAGAGGAAGAGACTGGAGTGACAGGGTGACTTGGCTGCAGATCAAGGGCTGTCCCTAGGGAAAACGCCCCCCCCCCCCCCGACCCTCCAGAGGGAGTGTAGGTCTGCTGACACCTTGATGCTGGACAGAGTGACCTGGCTGCAGATCAAGTGATGTCAGCAAGGAACAGACTCCTCCAGACCTTCCAGAAGGAGTGTAGGTCTGCTGACACCTTGATGCTGGACTTCTCTGAGAAAATACGTTTCTGTTGTGTTCTATGCAGTTTGCATTGTTACGACAGCCCCAGGAAACTGCTGCAACAAGCTAAGGGGCAGAGATGAGCTGAAATCTGGGAGGACAGGGCATGGTCAGCTCTAAACCACAACCTTTTCAGTGCAGCAGGACTGTCCTGCTGAGTGGAGTGGCATCAAATAGCACAAATAGTGAGGACAAAGTATAAATCAGGGGGAGGGACCATAAAAGGATGGGGTCACTGTTCACCCCACAAATCCGCACTCACCTCCAAGTGTTTGGCCAGCCGTCCCGGCTGCAGGTAAAGCCTGTGTTCATAGGATCCCAGCTTCCTCCACTTGGCTTCCTGGTAGTGGAGTTCGAACTGCACCTTTGCTCCAGGAAGGACGTTCACTTCTGTTCTGAAGTTCTCCATATCAAGAGCTTTGCTCCTGAAGGTGAGAGACCGGATGGAAGTCGGTGACTCACCTGCACAACCCAGAACCTAGGCAGCGGGTGTGGAGACTTTCCTGGGTGTCCAGCCTCTCAGTTATTCATGTAAATGAACAGCACATACCCTGGGGCAAGTGTAGCACCTACATCCTGCCAAACCCACCAGGGTCTTCAGTCTCCTTCCTGCCCCATCTTCTGATCCCAGAGCTGCCTACTGATTGAGTGTCATCTGCAAAAAGCCACTATGAACTGGCCTCTACTCCGGGCCAAGATATGTCATTACCCTGATCTTTCATGTGATAATGAGTCTCACTGAAGATAAATAACCTTCTCAAGGACCCACGGTAGTCAATTCTAGGACCAGGGCTCACGCCCAAGATTGACTGCACAGATAGCTCACAATTCCCACGCTGCATTGGAGACTCACTGTAGGAATCCTTTACTTTACTATTTTAATAATTAATTTTTTACTTTTTTAGAGACGGTCTTTCTCTGCCACCCAGGCCGGGGCGTAATGGTGTGATCAGAGCTCACCACAACTTCAAACTTTTTAGCCCACTTGGCCTCCCACATAGCTGAGGCTACAGCCGCACCATTACTCTCAGCTAATTTTTCTCTTTTTGGTAGACATGTTGCCCAGGCCGATCTCAAACTCTTGGCCTCAAGCGATCCTCCCCGCTCAGTCTCCCAGAGTGTTGGAAGTATAGGCCTGAGCCACGTACCTGTCCTCTTTCTATTTTTAGAATAATTCTCTTATTTCATCATGTTAAATATGTATTTGTAGTGTAAGATCATATAAGGTCACTGTTCCTATCGAATCCAATGTAATTATGGATTTTAAGGCATTAACAGTTTTAAAGAGAAAACAGCAGGATTATCGAATGAGGGTGATTCCAGGGTAAATAATGAATGAGTTAAAAAACAATGAAATAATGAAATAAGCAAGGTGAACTGGGACATGCTCAGCCCGTTTGGGATCTGGGAGTTCACGTGCGCAGTCAGCGTGAGATGTTGAGTTGCAGAAGGGAACAGGAGCATGGCCTGGTGGAGACCTGCAGGCAGAGTCCCCAGTGAGGGCCCGTGTTGACCTGGGGGTGGGCTAGAGTGAGAGCTCTCTCCGCAGTATCTCCAGGGCTTAGAAGAGTTTCTGTTACCAATCAATATTTGTGGAGTAAATAAAGGAATGGGTGACATGATGAAAATGGTGGATAGAGATGGCAAAATGATTTGTAAAAATAAAAGATTAACCTGAAGCAATACCAGAAATGGTCCCTCTGCTTGGATTTTTTTTTTTTTTTTAGACAGAGCATCACTCTGTTGCCCTGGATAGAGTGGTATCTTAGCGCATAGCAACCTCAAACTCTCAAACTCATGTCCTGGGTTCAAGCAATCCTCTTGCCTCCTGAGTAGCTGGGACTACCTGCCGCAAGGTCCAGCTAGTTTTTCTATTTTCAGTAGAGACTGCGTCTCACTCTTGCTCAGGCTGGTCTGGAACTCCTGACCTCAAGCGCTCTGTCAGAGGGTGTTTTAATCCCTCTCAGTGTTAGGGCTTGTCCCACCATTGGTGGGCATTATGGTTATTGGTTCCTTGTCTGTCCCCTGCATGAGCCAGACAGCGACTGTTTCTGCGTTGCTGCTGCCTCTGACAGAACAGATGACATTTGATGAATTTTTGTTACATAAACAAATGCTTGAACTCAATGAAAAGAACTTGAACTAAAGGTAAATTTGGATATGTAGAAGAGGAGGCAACGAAGAAAAAAACGAGGCAGGATTTGGCAGGAGATTGCGTATCCGCAGTGTTAAGGACTAAAACACTGAAAATCCCTTGAAGTTTCCTGCATAAGAGGCGTCTCTTTGAATGGTTGGGCATTCCCAGCATCTCATTTAAGGTTACAAAGAAAAAATAAATCCATAAAATCCAAACCAAGTACCTACTGCTTAAAAGGCCCCACCCATAAAAATGTGGCATATTCAATCACTAAAACAAAGTCCAGACTTTTTCTTCTGTATGTGTGCTAAGTTTTATAACAAGATTGCCAGTATTTCTAGAGTTCCTCTCTGTACGCTACAGATCATCTGTACTCCTACAGATCATTTGCTTATTTACAGATCCTCCCTCTACTTGCAAGACAGGTGGTATCAATACAATCAATGTGAGATCATCCAAAACCCATTGGCTAAAGAGAGGCCTTTAGGGAGACAGAAATAGCGATTTTGCATTCTGCTGTCTGAGTAAGAGAGTTGATATTTGCTTAGATCCTGGGCCTGTCCGGAGGCTGGTTTGCTGCAGGGATGGAACGAGAGCAGGGGCACTGATCTGGGTGGAGGTGAGTGCCACTCAGCCAGCCCTTACCTCACCAGCCCCGCTGTCTTGCCTTTGGCTCTTGCCTGTGAGTAGAGAGCTTTGCCCACAGTTTTCTCTCTAATGGAACTCCTAAATGTCGTGCCATCCACAGTCCTAGAAAAAGACAAAAGGCCACCGGTTGGTCAGAATGGCAGTGTTAACAAAACAACTAAAAGCACCCAATAGGCTTGATTTAATGAATGGGGATCTATGATCATTTTGCATCTATAGGAAAGAAAGATGGATACAATATAAGGGTAGAAAGCAGCTCCGGGGTGAGGGCACAACTACAACAGGGACCCTACCTACCAAATGCAAACACTGTAATCTAATCACTTGTGCCCTCATATTAATCCTTCAGATTAAGTGCTGTTCTTTCTGGGTGTCCGTTTTGAATGACAAATGTGACTAGGAGAGGTGACTGATGAATCATGAATTATCTCATTATGTGTGGCTTGTTGAACAGTTTTCTGTGAGTGAAGAATTTGGCATAGCCTGGGGAAATGCAACGCACTGAAGGTTCGTGTCCCCCCAAATGCCCTGTTGACTACCACCCTCCAGTGTGATGGTACGAGAAGTCGGGCATTTGAGAGAATATGAGGTCAGGGGAGTAAACAGCATAAGCACCCATGAAAGATTTGAACTGTAATGATTAGTTATCTTCTCTGTTTTTTTTTCTTTTTTTGAGACAGAGTCTGACTATGTTGCCTTAGTAGAATGCTGTGGCATCACAGCTCACAGCAACTCTTGGGCAACTCTCAAACTCTTGGGCTTAAGCTATTCTCTAGTCTCAGCCTCCCAAGTAGCCGGGACTACAGGTGCCCACCACAATGCCCGGCTATTTTTTTGTTGCAGTTGTCATTGTTGTTTAGCTGGCCGGGGCTGGGTTCGAACCTGCCACCCTCAGTGCATGTGGCTGTAACCACTGTGCTACGGGTGCCAAGCCTCCTCTCTGGTGTTATACATTCAGTCCTGTCTCCTCCCCCCCCCCCCACCCCGAGGGAGACTAAAATAAATGGATGCTTCCCTATCCTGTCTTTTGTCACTTCAAATCTTCTAGGGAATGAGACGTCAAAGAAATAAAAGGATGAAGATGAAAGAAAGAAGGGAGCCCCAGAATGAGTAAGTTCCAATTATGGGGTTAAAAAATCAGAATTTATTAACAATAGTTTGAAATGTCCTTCCTAGAAATGGTGTCGTATAATTCAGCTACAGAAAACCTTTTTCTTCTCCTTCTTGCTTTTTAGAAAAGGCTGACCACCGGCTAGGGCGCCAGCCACGTACACCTAAGGTGGCGGGTTCGAATCCCCAGCCCGGACCCGCCAAACAACAATGACGGCTGCAACCAAAAAATA